GCTGAATGTCACACACACCAGTGTGACATTCACCAGCGCTGCTGGCTGTGCTAGAGCTCCTTACAGCTGTCGGCYGGCACAACAGCCCTCAGCAGAAAAATCACTATATAACATTTAGGCTAAATATACCAMATGCAAAGTATTACTTTTTAAGAAATGAATGCACAAGGTGCTTTCAGGCCCTGTAAACTCCAGCCCATACTTAGTGAGAAGGCTTGTAGAGTCCTTGAGTTATCTACTGTAAAAGCATAGCAGAGACAACAGTCCCTTTAGTTCATTTTATTTTTCCTCCAAGATAGGCCCTAATTTGAGCATTACCTTAATAACTAGGAGGTTATGGTGAACTCTTTGTCTGCCTTTTCTTCACTAAAGAAGCATATTTTCTTGTTTCACTGTATTAAAATGGAACCTCCAAGAGAGCATTATTACCCAAAAGCGAGGTCCATAAGTCTTCTCTTCAGGAAGTGAAGTTAAGGTGACATTTGAAATGAAAGCCTATTTCTTAAAATGAGGGAGAAAAAAAGAATGGAATGTCTTCAGAACTGGTTTTTAGGGAATGGTTCTTAAGAGTTCTAGTGACTATTTTGCTCAGATGACTTTTTTCACTTGTTTTGTAAATAGAGTAACAGATAAGAAACTGGGGATCAAAACGCCTTGAGCTGGCRCCGTGGTCTAGCAACGTTTTGTTGCTTGGGGGAGCTGGTTTGAGCTCGCTGGCTGGGAGCAAGGAGGGACCGCTGAGACAGAGGAAGATTAGCTCAGACCAGGAGAGCCGCCTTTGCCATCCAACACAGCAGAGGCTGCGAGTCTGGAAAAAGGAGACTCCAGAACCGTGGAGAAGGAGCAAGGGTCTGTCAAACCATGAAGGTCAAAGTGGAGCTGCCCTAGAAATGGAACTGATTGCAAAGGCTATTTTTATAGCACCTGTAAAGCTCTTGCATTCTGTACCACAAAGGCTTTGTTTATAATCTTCTTTAAAATAGTGAYTTTTAGTCAATTTCTGAATTCTGTTGTGACAACTGTGCCTGTTTTTGCACAATAGGCGCTTTCCCAGCAATTCGTATAACACAACTGCAACAGAAAGCTGGAAATAAATCTAAAAATTGTATTAGYATGTTTTTTAATTGTGCTTTTGTGGTTTTTGGTGATGAAGCATTTTAATACGATAACTCAGCATTTTTCTGAGAAAATGTGTGCACCACWATCCATTAATGTGAATTAAATGGAAGAATTTCCTTGTTCATTAGTTGTATAGAGCCTCTGTATTCTTTTGTTACTCGGTTAACTTTGATCATATCCAACGTTTTAATCGGAAATCAGTGCAAGCTTTCTTCATTTATCAGGCAAATATCTTAGAATATACTTCTTTTWTTTCCAATATACTGGCTATATTTTAGAATATTCTGTATTTTAAGGCTTAAAAGAGCATGATAATTTGTTTTATTGTTAATCTTCTAAGGCTAATTTTCAGGGTAGTGTTGGCTGCATAAGAAWCAGTTAATTATGTGACCTACATGCTTTGTCTCGGGCACAAGTCTGCTCAGTCCTCTGTGGTGAAATGCCTTATTAAATACTGTACTGATTTATGTTGATCTGCAGAGAGATAGAACCGTTCAAGGGAAAAGATAAAGGGAAACAAAGGGAAATTTGCTCAAATCCAAGGACTGTGTAGGTTCAGAAGTAGAGGAGCTATTAGCAGTGTAGATTTAAAATATAAATAAGTAAATGTAAGAAATGTAAATATTCATAGTTGATGTAGTAATGTAAATATTCATAGTTGATGCCCAGCAGCTGTGGGGCCTCAGAGGCAATCAATCAGTGTGCGTTTTCCAGAAGTTCATTAGTTAGTTGTTGTGGCGCGGATGCCCTGGTCCAGTTTTTGCCTGGAATGGGTTTCTGCCGCCTGTCCCTGGCCGCGCAGTGTCYGGTCCGGCCCCGTCGTCACCCCGCTGCAGCCGGCCCCTCGTGCTCTCGTTTCCGGAGGAGGGTGCTTGGCAGCRCAGCGGGCAGGGCCCTGCTGAAGCGGCCCCCGAGTCCCGCACGGCGGCCCCTGAGCTCCCCCTGCAAAGGGTTTGGGGGGAAGGTTTGGGGGAGCCAGACRGCACCGCCGTGAGCCGCAGCTGGGCAGCTGCTGGGGGTCTTGCAGGTGGGAGCTGCCCCGTCACAGAGCACGTTACAGGGTCTGCCTTACAGCCTTTGTAATGCTGCCTCTCCTTACTACAGATCATTAATTCCTTATGATTGAATTTGCAGCTGTGCAAACATCAGTTTGCTGGAACTGTAAAACTGAGCAGTGGTACCTGCGTTTTCATTTCTGTCTGCATATCTGCTCGTGGTGCAGTGTGTGCTGAGGTGTTCTTCTTCCCCTGGACTTGGAATTTATTGGGTATTTTCTTTGCACAATGTCCCGTGTAGCTCAGCAGGATGAGGAAACACGAGGTCTCCAGTGGAGAGGAAAACACAAGGCTGTGGATGTATTTACAAGACTGCTTCAACTTGAAGAGCAGGGTTTTCTTCAGCTCYTGCTCATGCAGGTTTCGGGATAGCAGCTTTGCTCCTTCCCCCTGCACCCAGCAGGGTGACCCAAACACAGCGTGGAGCGGCTGCCTCTGCTCTTCATCCTGCTGTGCTGTGAACCTCCACAGGCTGGATTCACACATAGGTTTCACACAATCACAGAATGGCTGAGGTTGGAAGGRACCTCTAGAGATCATCTAGTCCAACCCCCTGCTCCAGCAGGGACACCCAGAGCACAGGGCACAGGGTGGTATCCAGGTGGGTTTGGGAGATCTCTGGAGAAGGAGACTCCACAACCTCCCTGGGCAGCCTGTGCCAGGGCTCTGKCACCCTCACAGGAAAGAAGTTCTTCCTCACATGGAGATGGAGTTTCCTGTGTTGCAACTTGTATCCACTGCCCTTTGTCCTACCAGGGAGAAGACTTTGGCCCCTTCCTCTCTGTATTCTCCCCTCAGGTTTTTGTTTCCTTGCCAGCTCATCAATGTTCAAATGCTTCATCCTTTTCAGAGTTTTGCTTTTAAGACAAAGTAGAGGCACATGATAAGGCAGAGAGGTATCAGCAGCATTTATTTTATAACTTAATGTAAAAAAAAAAAAAGCCAGGAAAGAGAAAACAGTTCAGCATCTTTATTAACAAGAGTGATGCCTGCTGCCAGGCGGAGCTGGAGCTGGTTGTCCTTCAGCAGACTTCTCCCTTCCGACGGTGAACGCTCTTCCCTGCAAGGCCCCGATCTACCACTGTGGTTGGAAAGCAGCTAATAAACTGCAGATGATGTTGTGATATGAAGAAAAATGAGGAAGCAATTGGCTTATTAAACCTGCTTAGCTCTTGCTTTGCTAGAGCTCTGTGATTCGCTTTAGTATTGAAATCCTCATGGAAAAAAAATCTTTCTCCTGGCACAGTAAAATCTGTACTTAAAAAGCTTGCAAAGATAAATATTTAATACCCCAATAGGCATCCCAGYGCTTTCAACAGATTCATGAGCATCGCATGTGCCAAAACCAATTCTCCTGTGTGGGATTAGATGACCTTAATAGATGGTAAAAACTGGATATTTTAGTCTCTTCAGGGTGCAGCCTCAGAGTGACAAATGCTCCAAATGGGGGGGCCTCTGATGCTTCCCCGTTCCCGCTGCCCCATCCCTCCTTAGAGCTTGTGAGTCAGCRCTGGGCTGCGAGGGGGGATCCAGGTGTCTTGGTGGCCTCATCCCAGAGGTGGGAAGAGCCCTGGGCATGGGAGGCTCTGAGGGCTCTGGTAGTCGCATCCCGAGGGAGTTCGGTGCGTTTTGCACAGTRTGTTTGCTGCTTTGTGCAAAAAGCATGGGATGCACCTTCAGGCGTGGCTAGGGCTTCCGCACGGGAACGACACCGGCTCAGTGCTTCCTATAAGCCAAAAGGAGATGGAAGGAAGAAAGAAGCTTTACATGGAAGAAGGGCGAAACTTCCTAGTCTTTTTGCCCACTGGCAATTTTGTTCCTCCCCTTGTTTTCCAAAGTTGACATTCGTTCTATCCATATTTAAAATGCCGGGGTGTGTGGGGGTCTGGTTTTGCACATGGGGCTCCCAGTGGCACCCGAGTGATGGCACCTCCGCTTGATCTGCTTATTCCCCGCTCTCTGCCAGAGCGTTGGCTTTACCGAAGCAGTTGGGAGGCGCCTTGTCAGAACACTCCAACATTTCAGGAAAAGAAATGTTTGAACAGTACTAAATAAAGCAAAACGCCGAGGGCACCATACCCAAACCGTTAACTCTTAGGCCGACTTCACTGACKTTGCTTGAGGTCAGCATTTCACCCCTAGAAAGGGGGGTAGTAGATTTTGCTTCATTTTGTTTTCTCCAAACRTTTCTTTCTTTTTCATTATCTTCCCTGGTAAATGTAGCATAGATATTTCCAGTCAATTCYTCCCATTTTGGTTTGTTTGCAAAAAGCACCATATGCGCAAGCCAATGTTGCCCTGGCTTGTTCTGCCAGCTCAGTGCTCTGGGTGGCTAAACATCCTTCTGCTAAAAGAAATTGTAGAGTTTGCTATATTTTAAAGGTCATTTGTAATTTCTTCTGGCAAAAGCTTGCTTTCCTCTTACTGACAGCTTCTCTTCTGGTTGGTGCTTTGATTTTGTCATTGTTGGCTACCTTAATTAAACWTACTGTAAAACTGATTTCTACAACAAATTAAATTTTCTGACTTAAAGCATGTCCCATTACTGTACTATTTACCTCCACAGACACCTTTCAACTAACTTATTTTTCTTTGTGATTTCCAGTGTTTTCCCCTTACTGTTCTCAAATGATGTTTTAATTTGTCAACCTGTGCGCAGCAGCTCACCTGCAAAGCTCATCTTSCTTCTGTTCTGAAGCAAGTTCTTTCAAGCTTATCCGAGTATTGGCTCCTTTCTGCTCACTGCAAAGGYTCCACAGCTGGATGCAGCTGTGTCAAGGTGCAGTGTGGGGATACACATCCACCTATTTTCTGGTTTCTTTTCAGTGCTTTGCTGTGCGCTCCCTGGGCTGGGTAGAAATGGCTGAAGAGGATCTGGCTCCTGGGAAAAGCAGCGTTGCGGTGAACAACTGCATCAGGCAGCTCTCATACTGTAAAAACGACATCAGAGACACCGTGGGCATCTGGGGAGAGGTAAGAACATGATGAGTCTCTATTCCTCTGAAAACATAACATATCTTGGGGGAAAAAATATGTAGGCAAATGTGGCTGTGCTTGTTTTTTTGTCAACCTAAAATGATGAGTTAAAAGTGCATTAGYCGGAGTTAGACTTAGAGTGCCCAGGTTTTCTGTGCTGTGTTTTACAAGAAAAGAAAAAGTATTTTCAAGCCCCGTGTTGGGACCTTCCTCATCTCAGCTGGCACTGACAGCAAATGCAAAGTGTTCAAGGGCAGGTTTGATGTTGTGGTTCCAAACGACTCAGGACAGCCAGTACCACAAAGGCCTCCATTTGGCATTGACATCTTTGCTCTGTACGTCTTTGTAACGGACAGTAAAATCTAACAGTATAACAACAAAGCTACCAGTGGACCCTGTAGATTACTACTTGCCAATAAAAAACTATTTTCTGAATTACAGACAAGAAATCAAAAGGAGGGAGGCTGAATAAGTTGGGAAAAAAAAGTTAATTCTCATTAGCACATTTTTATRATGACTGTGTTTAGACGCACGCAAGTAAAACTATTGAAAAATTAGTGGAATGTTTTACAGACTGCAAGTTTTACAGTAATGCTTTGGAATGCTCTTGGAGGCAACAACAGAAGGAATGTGGAGGGCCTAGTAAGTGAAAGAAGGAAGGAGCAGCTGGGGCTGTGGTGGCRGAAGACACAGAGCCCACAGAGACAAATCCGTGGGAAAACAGGCTTCATTATTTAGTTGCTCTTGGAGCAGCTTACTTGGACTTTTGCCAGGTCTCATGCTGTGCCTCTCTCCTGACCTGTCGCCAGGAGAGTTGCACTAATGTGCATTTACTGGGATTGGCAGTGATCTGAATGCAAAAGCGACGTAGGAATGAGCATTGTCGCCCTTCCTAGTGTCTGTGTGTGACCTAGGAGAAGCAACGCTGCCAAACAGAAGGAAATGTATTTCCCTGTCAATGCTGTCAGGCTTCTTGACGCCCTTACTGTGTTTCAAGCCAAACGGGTTAAAAGTTTCTGTTTCCTTAAAAATATGTTAATTAAAAATACCCTTCTTATATTTTGCTCTGCACTCCAAAGCAGTAGGGAGGCACTGTGCTTGAACAGATGCCTCCTAAATAGTCATCTTGATTTTAAAAGAAATCATTAGAACCACCCTCCTTCCTCTTTTTTCCTGCTGGCACTGTAATGTTTCAAAAGGGACTGGAAGGAGCACATTTGAAAGAGGAATCAGGGAAAAAAAGTGTGTGGTCACTGCCATATCAGATGAGCACATCCAGCAAAACCTCTGTCACGAACCACAAGCGATGACTGCAGACCAGGGTTTTAACATTGCCTAAAGATTTGTTTCACCTCTAATGCAACAGAAGTGAGGTTGGGCCCAGGACCTGCCCCTATGGGGCTCTTCCTGCGAGAGCCCTCCCTGCCTGAGACCTGATCAGCTTCAGCTCCCGCTCTGCCCGGATCGCTTCTGGCTGCYCTGAGCAGTATTTTCATCTCTAAAATACCCTTTATATGATAGGGCAACAAAATTGAGCAGAATACATGGCTCCTGCCTGCAGCCAAGCTACCCTTAGAGACACAAGGATAATTTCCAGTGACTTGTGTTCCATATCTCCTCATTCCCTGACATTTTCCAGCTAATTTGGATTCAAATTTATTACCCTAACATTMCATTTTGCATGATGAACAGGAATTTACCTTCTTGTAATCATTTCCTCTGGAATAAATGTAGCAGTAGAAAATGGACTCTAAAGGCAGTCTTTGTGACACTTGGTGACATACTTTGCACAGACTATTTAGTGCTTCCGACCTCCAAGCACATTTCTCAGCCTTCCTCTTTGTTGTGGTTCTGGTTTCTCTTTGGTCTCCTCCATCATCCTGCTCTGCCTGGTGCTGTCCTGGCTCTGTGCCAGGATATTTCCCATTTCCCATGTTCTGTGTGTCATAAGCAGCCCAGTAAGCCCTTGCTGCCGAGCCCTCAACCCCGGCTCTTCCGAGGGGCCTGCGCGCGGCCCAGCGGCGCCTCGGGCGCGCGGGGGAGGCCGCGCGTTAGCGCCTGTGAATCAGCATCCAGGGAAGAAAAGGCCTCTGCGTCTCTTCCCTCCAAGGAGCATCAAAGGAAGCTTCCTCCTAGTTCTTTCATGCCAGAAGATTCAGGGAGAAATCCAGAATTCTGCAATAACTGCCAAAATTCACGCTGATGTCTTAGCGTTTGGTTTTCCCCTTCCGTTTCTTCATAGAGTGCCCTCCAAATCCTCTGATGCACACAAATTTCTGTCAGTTCCCATGCCCCCTTGGCTACAGCTAGTGGAAAGCAAGCATATCCCGGGCTAAGGAAAGAAGTCTGCCTTAAGAGTATTGGTTTTGATAGAAACCTTTAATGTGAAAACTGTTTTTGACTTCTCTTATCTTTGTAGGCATTTACAGGAGAAGGGATAAGCAAATAAATTGTTGAATAACTGGTGCCTTTTATTAAAGGAGTTAGATATGCATTTAAAAGATGTTAAAGGCTTTTGTGATTGGAAACATTTAAAAGTACAGTCATAGTAAAATACTACTTTGAGAAGTGAATAAAACACTACAAGGGAAGTGAACGAGCTTGTTTCCAAATGCTCTGGAAGCAAGCGGGAACTTTGGGTATGTTCAATGAGGATGCAAGGCTTAGCAGGGTCAGAGTAGCTCCTTAACACGAGTCGGCTTGAGAGTGGGCCCTGCTGTGGAATTAAGTGCTCTTTATGTGGCCTTGCAGGGCAAAGACATGTACCTCATCCTGGAGAACGACATGCTGAACCTGATCGACCCCATGGACCGCACCGTGCTGCACTCGCAGCCCATCGTGAGCATCAGGGTCTGGGGAGTGGGGCGCGACAACGGCCGGTGAGTTCCTCGCCCTCCTCCTCCCTGCTGCCCCACTGCTRTTTGTGCCTGCTGCTCATAGAGCCATGGGGATGCCCAGGGCCAGCCGCTGCTCCTCTCATTGAATGCCTCTGTCCCCGTGTCTGTGCTTTCCTTTCCAATGACTGAATTACTTCTTCTTCTTGCTTTTTTTAATCTCCCTTTCATCCTGTCTTGCAATATCTGCATAGAGCTGACTTTTCAGATGGACTCAGACAAGTCCATCAAACAGCACGTGCAACACTATATTGTTTCAAATATATAAAGAAATTTTATATAAAAAAATATGTTTTCAAGTATGACCCATGGTGTATTTCATCTCCTGGCCATGCGAAGGCATGTCTTTATGATGGTTAAAGTTAAATGCGGTAGTTGCTTTTCCCTGAATGTATGCATTTGTTTCCATATTCTTGAGATATTTCATTTGGTGGAGAGAAAAGTTGCATTTATTCCATTAGTATTTCATACATATCTTCATACAAGGAAGTTCCTTGGAGTTTTCCAGAACAGTGAARTTTCTCTGCATCCTCCCTGAAATCTGTTGGAAAGGAGGCTAAATTTCCTTTTTCCCCCAGAGTAAAGCCACAGGTATGTGCTTTAAAAGGCTTTCCWGAACTGGAACCCATCTTCCATTAGCTCTCATTCCTAACTGGTCTTCTGTTGGTAATATCCTGCTCTTTTATGTAACCTTAYGGGAACAGGATTGAGAAACTGCTTTATTTAGAGGTGGGTAGCAAACTGCTTTCTTGTCCCATTAAACCTTCTGACATGGCAAAAGGATTCCCTTTCTCACTGAGCAATTCCAAGATCTTCAGGCATATATATTCATATATAATGCATCCTGATGCATTATAATAAGTTCTCTTTTCTGCAACTTCTGATTAAAAGTTTCATTTTGGGCCTTGAAAATCTTTTCAAATAAAAGATTTGTACAAGTTCTGTATTCCCACAAAAAAAAAAAATGGTTATCTCTGGATACATTTCCAAAAAGAAAAAGTGGTAAGGGTTTCTGTTACCAATTTCATCTTTCTAAACATTTCCTTGTGTGAATGGCTCTTATTTTATTTTATTTTATTTTATTTTATTTTATTTTATTTTATTTTATTTTATTTTTTATTGGTTCTTATTTTTGAGAGATTTAAAAGGGCAAACCCAGGTAGAAATGATGAAAAGCAAAGAGATTTTAGCTTCTTATGAATAAAGCATTGAAGTGCTTTGTTTGCTTGAGAAAATGAGTGTGCTGCACATTCCCTTCAAGTCAGGTTTGTAACAGCTTTCCTTGGCCAGGAAGTCGAGCATCTTTTGGGACATCTCAGTGTAATGCAGCTGAACAGAATTCAGGAATTACAGACTGCGGGAAGGCAGCTTTGCTTTTTCAGTACTTTTTTGAAGCATTTACAGGTTTTGCAATAGCAAATGCATCTAGATGAGCATAAGGCCCCTCAGTAGGCCTGGAGCTGGTGGGGGAGCTTGTGCTTGTGGAGGTCGCTCTGCCTGCACTGACCTAGACCACAGCGATGCTGTCCAGCCATGGCCAAGGATATCTAAAAACCTCTCCACCAGGAGCAGGAACGAGCATCTCTGAGCCCAGTCCTCCTTGGTTTTGTGTTCTGTTTGGAGCCCAAGGATACATGGCAGCTCTTTGGAGATTTCTGCAGAAATTAGTGTCTCTGTTGGGAAAGTTTCTCAGCTCTGGAGGATATGGCTGAAGTTCACGTTCAAATGTTTAAAATAGTTTAAACACTTTTAAAATTAAGTTTAAAATAAAATAGAAAGCCGTTCTTCATCTTGGTTGTAAGACGTAGAAGTTTACTTTCTCCTGAGCAGTGATTTTATTTATGACAATGACAATACAGAGAACCAGCGTTAGAGCAACTGAACTCATCTCCTGCGTTTCTAGCATCAGAAGAGGAATCTGGCCCTTCTGTGTTGAAATACAACACTTGTTTCCAGGAGAAATTACTTGTCTTGATTGGTTGATGTAGATAACAGTAAGAAATAGTTTTCTGAAGCTTTAATACATAACCACACAATAAAAACCAGCCATAATATCCCATTTGCTGACACAGTAATGTTCTTGCTGTGTTTAATGGGATCTAGTTTTTCCCTTCCAAGTAGTTTGGTTTCAGAGCCTCCCTGTTCTCATAGATGCTTCTGCAGGAATGTTGTATCCAGTGTGACTTTCAGCACGGGAGTGGAAAACCCTTTATCCACCCATTTAAACAAATAAGATTGCTGGTAGAAAATCCAAAACCCAAGCAGAAAGAACAAATTTATGACTCAGTAGTCAGATTTMCGGTGAATGTGGGGAGTTTCAGTGTAGGAAATAGAGTTTGGAGGGTAGCATGAAGGATGCGACGTTGCCGAACCAGTGCCAACACAACCAAAAACCTTTTGGTGAAAAGAGAACCGGAACCATCCTGGGAGGCCAGAACATAGTTCATGGTCTCAGCAGATGCTCGGTGGCCTGAAGCTTTTTTTTTTTTTTTTTTTTTTTTTTTGTTATTTGAAATGAGGGAAACGATGCGGTTGAGGTGGCAATTGTACCATATTTGCTTGTTGTTATATACATTAGCAGGCACTTGGGTAAAATTAGCTATTTAGTCACCAAGTCGGAGACACTAGAGCCACCCGCTGATTGAAGGAGCACTTTCTGTGGCTTGATTTTGCCATTGGAAAAAGTGTGTGGAATGCCCTGTTTGTTCTGTGGATAGATTTTCCAGGAGGCSTACAAAATCCAAGCTTTTCTGGTGAAACTCTCCTGGAAGTTGTTGCACGTGAATATGGTCAATATGTTTTATCTTGTGTTCCAAGCATCCGTATAGCAAAACTTACTCTATTTATTCTTAAAAGAAGTGATTAAACTCTAAAAATTGTAGATTTTTTTGTATTCTCTATATTGACTTTATATTTCTCCATAATAATCTTCCAACTCTCCTTCTTAACTGCATTTTGCTTGGAAGATAAATTTTGCTTTGGATTTTACTTTGGAAGATAAAAAGGTTTTCTAACAACACCTGACCAGATGATTTTCTAAGCTATGCAGTAATGAAAGATTGATGAAATACAGAGATCTGCTGATGAAAATTTAATCTGAGGATGGATCTGCTAACTCACCTCAGGCAGGGATGTCTTCTGGGAGACTGTAATAATTCTCTCCGTGCGTTACACTATTATCTTGACCTCTAGAGTTATTTTTTTAAAATACAGTTCTGTGTTAAGCCAAGGCTTGATCATTATGTTGATTTAAGCTGTGTGATAATTTGGGGTTTGAAATGTGGTTTGCTATGCTTTCAATTAATCATTTGGGTAGGTACCTTTAACCTTAATTAAAAATAGCGTGCAATAGTGAACAGAAATAGGTTTCCTCTAAGGGAAGCTGGTGGTTAGGCATGTATGTATGTGTACAAAATCACTTTACTGAGACTCTGAGCTACCATGCTTGGTAAGTATATATGTGCATAAAAGGAAAAGAGACATATTGTATATGTCTATCTCTTTGGAAGACTTTCTGTATTGTAATGATAAATTTTAAGAGCAAAAACTTTTATCTTAYGTTGTAAGAACAGTCTTCCTACGCTGCTGTACTGCAAACAGACATAACAATCTATTTAATACTGTTTCCAAATAAGAAAATTTTCAGTAATTTATTAAATATTTGACTTCAAGACAGGTGAGGTCTTTGTTGTGTGGAGGATTTGTGGGTGARTGATGGGGAGAGCTGTGTTGGCTTCTTACAAAGCAGCCCGTGACGTGTTTTTAAAGGCCTCTTGGTAAATCCTAGCCTGGGAGAGCCGCAGAAAGGGTTGTTCTTTACACTGTGAGCTCTACATTAATCATTCCTTGGCCAGGCGGGGCTCTGTCCCCGCTTCTCAGCCGCYGGTGATGCCCTTTGCTTGGAGAGCAGCTTGCTAACAAGGAGGTGAGCAGAGGTAATGGCCCGTTCATTTTGAAAAGGAGTTTTCCCCACAGCCTGTTTCCCTGGATCCTCCTTTATCTTCATTGTTCTTCCAGGAATCCAAGGCCCAGCTCAACTTTTAAAAGCTGAGTGGGGCCTGAGCTGCCTGAGACATCACTGTCCCCTCTGCTGGTGGCCTCTAAAGTAGGGGGGTTCCTCCAGCAGCCCCTTTTTCCAGCTGAACTGCTGCTGGTTTTCTGCCCTTTCCTGGATATCTAGGAATGAAACGAGGCCGGAAGCGAGAAACAAGCTGTGGAAGAGTGAGACAGGGACTAGATTGGAGTASAACAGCACACAGTGCAGAGGAGGAGGCTGGACCTGCCCAAAAATCAGCAAGGGAGGCACCAAAGTGTGCAGATACCTCCGGTCAAATGGAAATAATCCTGTGAGGCTGGAAGAGCAGAGAACGGGAAGAACAAAACAGGAGCTGCCAGAACAGAGTGCGGCTCCGAGGAGACAAGAGATGAGGGAACTGCTGGGGCGGTGACAGTGACAAGACAAACGTGGGGAAAGAGGAGGGGRAAATGGGGTGAGATGGGGTGAAACAGGGGCTCAGATTTTCACAATATGGGGGACTGAAAAGAGTGTCCTGTCTTGCTGTTTAGGCAGCCAAATAAAAATGGCCTTATTTCAGAGGTGTCTAGCACCTACACTCTCCATTGGCTTCAGTGGGATCTGTGTACGTTCAGTGTCTTTGCAAAACACTAAATCCAGATTTGGAAAYCCGTCCCTAGACATTCAGATTTGAAAGTTTGCACTTGAGTGGCAGTAATGGCTTGTTATCCAGTGCTGCAAACCCTGTCTTAGTGTGGCTGTATCCTTTCAGTGGCACTGTCCTGTTGTTACTGAATTTCTCCTTCCCCTTTTCACAAGATATCCCAGTTTCAGTGGTGGGGGTGGCCACAGCTGCCCCACTCAGTGTGGGGTCCGTGGGGTCCGCTTCCCCTGAGCCCCCTTATCAAGCTGTGCAAGATCATGAATAATAAACCTGCTCCTCTGCATTAACTTGGCATGGACAAGAAGA